AAAAATCATCAAAATCGGAGTTAAAATAACCATTAAATCGTGATTTTTCGTTTATAACCGTCGAAAAGTTTTGTTCCGTAACTTGATATTTGAATGTTTTTTTTTTGTGATTTTTGGCGTATGCGATCTCGAAGCATATACAAACAAGTTTGACGGTTGGATCGTTGAAACTAGTTTTGTACAATGTGTATCCCATCAAAACAATAGATTCACTAACACTTAGAGTTTATTTATATTTTCATTAACTATAACATAAGATTTGTGGTATCCACTTGTGTAAATGTTTTAAATTGACGATCGAATTAGTTCATTGTATTCATATAGGATCAAGGAGTGTAGCTGTAAAAAATCATCAAAATCGGAGTTAAAATAACCGTTAAATCGTGATTTTTCGTTTATAACCGTCGAAAAGTTTTGTCCCGTTACTTGATCTCTGAATGTTTGTTTTTTACGATTTTTGGCGTATGCGATCTCGAAGCATATACAAACAAGTTTGACGGTTGGATTGTTGAAACTAGTTTTGTACAATGTGTATCCCATCAAAACAATAGATTCACTAACACTTAGAGTTTATTTATATTTTCATTAACTATAACATAAGATTTGTGGTATCCACTTGTGTAAATGTTTTAAATTGACGATCGAATTAGTTCATTGTATTCATATAGGATCAAGGAGTGTAGCTGTAAAAAATCATCAAAATCGGAGTTAAAATAACCGTTAAATCGTGATTTTTCGTTTATAACCGTCGAAAAGTTTTGTCCCGTTACTTGATCTTTGAAAGTTTTTTTTTTGTGATTTTTTGGCGTATGCGATCTCAAAGCATATACAAACAAGTTTGACGGTTGGATCGGTGAAACTAGTTTTGTACAATGTGTATCCCATCAAAACAATAGATTCACTAACACTTGGAGTTTATTTATATTTTCATTAACTATAACATAAGATTTGTGGTATCCACTTGTGTAAATGTTTTAAATTGACGATCGAAACAATGTGTATCTCATCAAAACAATAGCATTCATTGGTTAAACAAAGTCTTTTTACATTAAGTTACATATTAAAAAAAAAAAAAAAACACTTAAAAAAAAAAACACTTAAAAAAAAAAACATAAAAGTAAAAATATTTTACAATGATGTGTAAACTAATAGCATTCATTGGTCAGGTGGTGCTTCAGTAGTCGGCGGAGCTTCAGCAGTCGGCGGGGCCACAGAAGGAGGAGGCAACATAGGTTGATCAGTTGGAGCTTCACTACGCGGTGCCGCTCCTGAAGACGAAGGCAGATGCTGTTGGAACAAACCCACAAACCTCCGATGATCAAGTAAAATTTGACCATCAGTGTCCTGCATCTGGTCAATTTTCCTCTTCATGTTGGTCGCATAGCTGTGTGCGAGCTTGTGCAACTCTTTATTCTCATGCTTGAGCCCTCTAATCTCTTGCTTGAGACTCATCACTTCAGCCGCCAACGATTCAACTTGACGGGTTCGGGCAAATAGGCGTTGGGCCATGTTGGACACGGAACCTGCACACTGCACACTGAGAGCCAGAGACTCCTTGACAGCCAATTCATCAGACCGCCTTGAAAGCAGTCTGTTATCTTTAGGAGTGACAAGGTTCCGGGCCACCACCGCAGCTGTCATATCATTCTTCATCACCGAAGCCCCAACGGTAAGGGGACCAGTAGGGGATATGAAAGATGGGCGCCATATGTTGTCTGGTGAAGGCGGAGCTGCCTCTTCACCAATGTTCAAGTCAAAACGACGATCGGAAGGGCCAGACATTTTCTGAAGGTGTTGAGAAAGAAGAGATCGGACAGATTCAGATTTCGGAAGTGCAAGAAGGGAGTGTTTACAGGAGGGAGCTCAAGTGTGTTGTGGAAAAAAATTAACGCCTCTATAAAAAGAAGAAATCAAAGAGGCGCTCCTCAGAAATCGAAGAGGCATCCTCTCGCAAGTTGGGCTTGCTCACAAACCACCGATTCCAGATATCGAAGAGTGTCAGCTTTCTCAAAAGTTGGGCTTGCTCACAAACCACCGAAGCCAGATATCGAAGAGTGTCAGCTTTCTCAGATATCGAAGAGTGTCAGCTTTCTCAGATATCGAAGAGTGTCAGCTTTGCGAAAATCACGGAAAATTTATCGAAGCATCGATCTCAGATAACAAAGATGCGCATGTCTCTCTCAGCCTCGTCAGCACTTGTCACATGCAGAGAAAGCTTTGCGGAAATCACGGGTAGTTTGTCGAAGCGCCACCGCTTTCTCAAAAGTTGGGCTTGCTCACATACCACCGAAGCCAGATATCGAAGAGTGTCAGCTTTCTCAGCTTCCTTTATATGTCGACCTCCCTCCTCCACGGACAGACAAATCTGCAAAAATGCTCAACAATTTCTCGCATTCGAGAAGGCACCCTCAACATAACCTCTCGAAATACTCAGCTTTATTTCCCCCCGATAAGACCTCAGCAAATAAGCCACACCAAGAACAAGAGTATCTCATATCATCAGGGTCGAAAGCAAGAGTATCCCATATCATGCTTTCTCCCTGTCTTTGTCTTTGTCTTTGTCTTTCTCCTTATCTTTGTCTTTGCCTGGAACTTTTGCTCTCGAGTACTCATTCTCAACTGTTGTCAAGGTCACGAATTCCACCGGCAAATACCTCATGATAGTGGATCAGATATTGGCAAATACCTCAACAGCAAGAGTATCCCATATCATCAGGGTTGATCGTACTCTAGATTTGATGGACTTGTTTTGACCCTCAAATTCTTGAGTCAACTCACTAAGGCGTTGTGAACTACACGTGTCGATTCACCACTCTTGAATCAAATCCTTAAAGATCAAGCCACCAACGGTCCTTGAAGATATCACAAGCCCGATTTGCTTCTCCTTATCCTTGGTGCTATTTACGACACAAGGAGAAGGAGAACAATCAACATGAAGCCGAAGTCGAACCTCTGATCCAGTCAAACTTATTTGTATATGTGTTGAGAAACAGTCAAACTTATTTGTATATGTGTTGAGAAACAGTCAAACTTATTTGTATATTTGTATATGTGTCGACCTCCCTCCTCCACGGACAGACAAACCTGCAAAAATGCTCAACAATTGTTTCGGTCACATTGAATAATAATTATGCATAATTAAAGTTTCCGTCATATGAGCTCTAGTAGGAATATAAAATAAATGACCACTTTAGGAATATAAAATAGACATAGTCTTGTGGTGGTCGTTAACTTAACTTAATCACCATTAATTTGATGACGAGAGAGAAGAGACTAGGAAGGATAGTTATAAGCTAGGAATTAAGGAAGACCAACCCTCCATTATTCAAAGTCTTGAACCTTAATTCCCGGCTGTCGCATGCCAACGTCGTTCGAGAATTTTATTCTGGACCATATACCAACAATCTCCCCCTCCAGTCCATGAGCTCTAGTAGAAAGGGAATTGCATAATTAAAGAAAAGGAATTGTTTAGAATTGTTTAGAGTTTTTCTAATTAAAGAAAGGGAATCGAAAGTAAGTATAATCATATGGGATGAGCTAGTGTCGGCAAAATTAATTACCTTTGGAAACTTGATGCCAAGTAGATGCTGCAAGTTTTTCAAACTATATATTGGAGTTGATGTCAAAATTAATTACCTTTGGAAACTTGATGCCAAGTAGATGCTGCAATGATCCAACCGCAAAGTGTATGTTCTTCGGCTAGTTTATTGCATAACGTAAGAACTTGTAACATTTTATTCTCGTAAAAGATTTCCTTATTATATCTTATTTTATGTTGTTAATTTTTATTCTGCATTTTAGACTATGCAAGTGCCAATGTGCTTGCTGGCTATGACAAATTGCAAGTCCTACTTCTTGGCAAGAAGTATGGGTCTGGCGGCAATGGTTAATGATGCTTTGTTCAGTTTTCTTTGCTTTTTTCACACTTGGGTTATTTGTTCAGTTTTCTTTGCTTTTTTCTTCTAGTTTCAAATGCAAGAAAGGATTAGTTTCTAATGTTATAATTTTATGGTTAAAAAAGTGTATAGATGTCGTATTTGATCACTCGTCGTCGGAGTGTGACCAATGTGACCAATGAGCCTACACCCCTTGGTGAGCCTGCTGCTACGGCGTCCCAGGTGCCTATCTCATTGACGTCATCAGTGTCGGTTGAGCAGGTCAGTGCACTGCGGCCTCACCGGCGCCGTCGCGAGCCGGAACCTTTTGATCACACTTCCTCGGCATCCAGAGTAGAGGGTGAGGCCTCCCAGCCAGGTAGTTTTTTCTAATTCTCACTACGTTGTAATTTTTTTTTCTCATTTTAAAACTATTATTTTTATGATGGTCAAAATTTGTTGGATTGTGAAAATGTGTTGCAGGTTGTGAATTACCGTTATTTTACTGTTATAAGGTTTTCGGAAATGCTATACCATTAGGGGAGGTTGTGTCAAATTTTTTTTTTACAAATTTAAGCTTACGATTTTCACCATTTAAGTATTTTTGGCCAGCTAAAAAAACCACCAGGGGACCTAATCGAATGTTGAAGCAGTTAGAGGGCGCACGGCAGAACGGCTCCAGGATCAAGATTGTGTATGACCCGCGACATTGTGGAGCGGCTACCTCACAGCAGCATAGCGGCATCGCTACTAGTTGTGGTGTTGTTATTCGAGATAATTGTCCCTTTCAGCGGGGGTCTTGGGCAAAAATTCCCGAGGAGACGAGAACATTAGTGCGAGACAGGTTGTCGGTTAGTATATTTAATTTTAGCTGTTATTATTTTTTAAATTTTGTTTACAAATATTCAAAACCAAAATATATTATCTTAATATTATTAAATTTGTTACAATTATTTTATTATTTTTCATATTCGTAGTGCGTTTATGATCTTGAGGACATATCCCCTGAGGCTATGGCCTACTTAGAGGGCACCTTAGCAACCCGATACAAACAATGGAAGAACAATTTTCACACGCTTTTTAAGCAATGGAATGATCCGGAGATTGCTCGTCTACATGTTTCCAATGGAGTTGAAGGACCGGCCAGAGGATTGGGAGTGGCTCTGCAAACATTTTACGGACCCAAAATTTGTGGTATATACATAATATTTTAATAATAATTTATTATTGTACATGTTATTTTTTTAAGCTTTTTTATTAATTTATTTCAAATAGTCGCACTAACATGTATATTGTGTGTTTAACAGAAGAAATCTATTGCTGGCCAGAAAGCTCGGGAGTCAAAGACACTTCTCCACCATTCTGGTTCAAAGCCCTTTTCGTATAGGCTTGAGGCACGACGTGAGGTAAAAGTAAATTAACTTTTGAAATTTTTATACAATTTATTTATTATTATTGATTAATAAAATTTTCTTCATGTTTTTTTCTTCAGGAGGGTTCTATGTTCCCAGAGATCGACATGTTCGAGGAAGTTTACGTTCGACCTAATAATGAGACCACTAAGCAACTTCATGTAAGTATATGTAATTATCATTATTCTTATATGTAAGAATCGTTCAAATATTATCTATATTTTGTTATTAAACATTATATGTTTTTTCTTTATTATTACAGGCTACTATGGTGGAAAAAAGAGATGATGTTCTCCATGAAGCAACATCGCAGCTTCCCTCGGAGACTCCGATCGAGGACATCACACTACCTGAGGATGTAGGTTTTCAGATCATGACTGATGTCCTGGATCAGAACTTCGGTCGTCGTCGTGGCAAGGTTGTTCGAGGTATGGGGAAAGCGCGAGTTCGTGAAACGGGTGCCTCTTCTTCCAGATCGAAAACAATAGAGGTCAATGCATTGAAGGAGGAAGTGACGCAGCTGAGGGCCGAGGGTGAGCAGATGAAGGTGCAGTTGAGGGCCCAGGATGAGCGGATGAAGGCCCAGGACGAGGAGGTGAGGACCTGTGTCGGGAGGGTGCAAGAACTTGTACAAGCCATACAGATGGCTGGCCTCCAAATCTCGCTACCAGTACCTCATCTTGCTCCACCTTCGACCTCAGACCCATCTCGCCCTGCCGATACCCAGTAGCTTGATGTATTAAACCAGTTCACTTGTAGTTTTTTTTTGTTTGGACATCTTGTATGCACATTTTTATATATTTTATAATTAAATACTTTTGTTTGGTTAATTAATTATTCTTTAGAATTTAATTATAATATTGATCAAGAATTTAAAAAAAATAACTCAAACCAAAAAAAGGGTTTTGCGCGACGTGCATCCTATGGTATGCGTCGTGCAAAGTACTTAGCGCGACGTGCGTGCGCGTCGTGCAAAGCACTTTGCACGACGCACGTATACATCGCGCAAAGCACTTTGCACGACGCACGTATACGTCGCGCTAAGTACTTTGCACGACGCGCGCGCACGTCGCGCTAAGTACTTTGCACGACGCACGTATACGTCGCGCAAAATACTTTGCACGACTCACGTATACGTCGCGCAAAATACTTTGCACGACGCATACGTGAGTTGCGCAAAGTATTTTGCGCGACGTATGTTATTGTTCGTCGCGCAAGCCATACGTCGCGCTAAGTACTTTGCACGACGCGCACGCACGTCGCGCTAAGTACTTTGCACGACGCATACGTGAGTCGCGCAAAGTACTTTGCGCGACGCATGTTATTGTTCGTCGCGCAAGCCCTACCGTCACTGCCTTGGCGCGACGGTCAGCGCGCGACGAACCCTTCGTCGCGCAAACCCTTAGGCAACGACTTTTGGCTTTGCGCGACACATTTATGTACGTCGCGCAAAGTGTTTTTTCTACTAGTGACAATACCGTTTGCTAAAAGAAAATGCGGATATTAAATCATATTATTGTAAAAATATATATAATGAAGGACCAAAGGATATTTTAGTTCAATACATGATTTTTATAATTTGGGTTTTAATTTATCAAAATTTTATTTTCGACATTAGCATAAATATTCTATTATAAATTTAGGGCAATATCTCACTTGATACTTAGCCAAGCACAACTCCGCTCTACCCAAGCACAATGCCTCATTGATTGAATATATGTGTACTTATATTTTGTTAAGGAGATTTTAAATGCCCTCCCTAACCTAATTTTTTTAAAATTAATTTAAATTTATTAATAAGAACCAAGTTTTCGTTTTTGAGTACTCAACCACGTCTTCCAAGTTGCAACTATCACTTTGAATACGTAGTACATGAATGCATTCTAAATTTTAGTATAAGTACTGGTATATCCCAACGACTTAATTCCCTCCAAGGCTCCGAATCCAAGGAAGCGTCTGAATATACTCAAAACAAAATACCACTCACTTTCTCTGTGTCTCTTGATTTTATTCTAAACTTCACCAATGGAGTTGAAGACCATTCTGGGATATCTTCAAGAAAAGACTATTTTGGTTACTGGAGCCACAGGCTTCCTTGCAATGGGTATACCACCTCTCTCTCTCTCTCTCTCTCTCTCTCTCTCTCTCTGAGTTACTTGCTAATATATGGCATATGCAGTATTTTTGGAGAAAATACTAAGGGTTCAACCGGATGTGAAAGGTCTACCTTCTTTTAAGAGCTCCGGATACCAACTCAGCCAATGATCAAATGCATAATGAGGTTTGTATATACATAACGCTTCATTTCATTTTCATATATTTAGTTCTATAGTTAATGACGTTCACTGTATTTTAATTTTTTGATAAACATTTATATATTAAGATCATAGGAAAGGCGTTGTTCAAGGTTCTAAGGGAGAAGCTAGGTGCAGATTTTGATTCCTTTATTTCGGAAAAAGTTGTGGCTGTCCCAGGAGATGTAACTTCTGAAAACCTGGGGGTGCAAGACTTCAAATTGAGGGAAGAAATGTTCACTGAAATACAAATTATACTTAATTCTGCAGCAACGACAAATTTTGATGAACGGTAAGAGCTTTCACCCTGCAATTGAGGTCATGTGTTGACTTATGTCCTTCCCAATTACCACTTGTATGAAGAAAAAAAAATTAATCACAAACTTCACTATTGAAATCCTATGTACATACTACAATATCTTTTACATGTATAATGTACAGCACATACACTGTTAGTAATTGTATGTACAATCTCTTGATTAAAGTGATAAGTAAACAACCAAGTGTATACATATTTGCAGATATGATATTGCACTAGACGTGAATACATTTGGAGTTCTGCATGTGTTGAGCTTTGCAATGAAATGTATATTACTAGAGATGCTTCTCCACGTATCAACCGGTCAGTTTACGTTTTTCAATCAGTATAGCCTTTTCCTCTTCCTTTTATTTTCTGTTTGTCCCATACTGTAGTTATCCTCTTCTTTTTTGAGTCATCTTCAATTATCATTTTTTTAGATACATTATCTTTAAATATATATGGGTAATGAAACCTTTTTATTTTGGGTTTTGTGTCCTTAATTGGATACATTTTGCTTAACTGATGGTGATCAATGATTGTTTTCCAGCTTATGTGTGTGGTGAAAGGGAAGGACTCATACCAGAGGATTCATCTTCATTCATGGATGAGAAAGCTAAAGGCACCACCAAATTTAACTTCCAAGTACGGGAAAAGAAAGTTGTAGAGAAGAAATTGAATGAACTAAAAGCAAGAGGTGCTTCAGAAGAAAATATTAGAAGCACCATGAAGGATTTTGGTATTGAAAGGTTGTTGAGCATCAATACCTAATTGTGCCCTATTGACCCTCACATATAAATTTTATATTTTGGCTTATTTTCCCCATTTATTGATGACATAAAAAGTAAAAGAAATGCTAGTGCTGGTTGAAGTTTGCAACTCTTAACTATATTGTGCCATTCCAAAGTTGATTTATGCTAATTATCTTTCGTTTTTCGTTAATATAATTCCTAATTATCAGGGCCAAACTTTATGGATGGCCAAACACCTATGTATTTACGAAGGCAATGGGAGAAATATTTCTAGAGAACTCAAGAGAGAATTTACCGCTAGTCATCATCCGTCCAACCGTGGTTACCAGCACTTATAAGGAGCCATTTCCAGGTTGGATTCAAGGTTTCAGGTAATGATCTTGCATCATGCACCATAAAATTCTTAGTTTTTGAAATATATCTCGTTATTCAATAATTAAAAGTCATAAGTGTCAATATTGATAGCCTTTGAAAGACAAACGAAAACAAAAATGTATGGCGATCCCACAAAACAAAAATCACATATTTGTTCCTATTACAGAACCATTGATAGCGTTATTGCTGCTTATTGCAAAGGAAAGTTGACATGCCTACTTGTTGATCCTATGTCTGTATTTGATATGGTGAGTTCAAAGTCAATCAATCTCTTGATGCCTCCCAACACTACATACAATTATATATATGTATATTATGTACATGCATATGCACACACATGTATGCATGATAAGTTAACGGAAATTACGTACACCATTCTGGTTTGTATTTCTCCTCTATTTTCTTTTTGTTAAATTTCTGTAAGCATTTTAATAGAAACAAAATTTTTCTAATACGTAACTAAAGTGTGGTTAAATTCTATAAATTGCGCAGATTCCCGTAGACATGGTGGTAAATTCCATTATTTCAGCTATGGTTGTGAATGCAAATCAATCTTCTATTGTCATTTACCATGTGGGATCCTCATTTGGAAACCCTATCCAATTTTGTGATATTCATAATTTTGTGTTCCGACACTTCACCAAAAGTCCCTGGGTTAATAAGGATGGAAACGCTGTTAAAGTCGGCAAGTGCACAATGTTTAGGACTATGGCTTCTTTTCGCATGTACATGCAAATTTGCTTCATGATACCTTTGCAGGTTTGTTCTTTCTATTTCCTCGGCAGTAATGCTATATAACATAATATAAAAATCCACAATATAATAGCGATTGCAAGTATGGGTCATCTCATCTCGTGGAGAGATTTTTCAGTGTACATAAAATATAGGGCGATACATCACATGTCATAGTAGAGGGTTATTATAAAGTATACTCTAAAGTGAGACATATCAATTTACCTTATTGTTCATCTATATTATAACATGTGGTGTATCACATTTGTTCCGGGTACACAAAAATATTTTCATCTCGTGCTTTGTGTGATCGAGATTGAATCAAGGAAAAATTAGTATCCAGTCCCTAGTTTTTACTGTTAATTGACTAAGATCTTATTAGTTCTCAAATTTGGATTCAAGTCCATAGCATTAATGTGATAATGAATTTACATGTTTATTATATAATTTTTAATATAAAAATTAGTAATTAATTTAGGGTTTAATACTCACACCTCTATTAAACTTCTAATTAATTTTCAATTCAAACATTTCCAAAATAATAAAAAATTAAATTAAATTAAGTTTGTACCTATTAGTTTTTTTTTATATATAAAAAGATTCTCAATTTTTTAATCTTAAATGTACCCATTCATATAATTTTTCAATTTTTTTAATCTTAAATGTACCCATTCTCAAATATATCAATTTGTTATATGTAAAATGTACCATTTTTTTAATATAAAATCCATTCAAATTTTTAATCCATGTTTAAACTTATATGGGTACATTCTTTTTCGTTGATTTGAGAATGTATCCATGTTTTGGTACAATAACTTTTTTTGTTAATTTTGGTTAATGTACCCACACACACACACACACACACACACACACAATATAATAGAGAGTATAATTTATATTTTATTATTTTTAATCCCATAAATTATGGGTTTTATTTAAAATCTCATTAATATAAATAATTACAAATTTCAATTTTTAATTTTTAATTTAAAAATTATAGTAACTTACATTATTACATTAATGTCAGGAACCTCAATCAAAAACTAAAAACTAACAAGGTTTCAATCAAAGAATATTTATAGCTAGGAACCGCATCCAAAGTGTCCCTTGAATCAATTAATATCCGTTTAATACTCGTTGTATTGTTAATAATTGTTATCAAACATGGTAGTTTTTTTCAGATCATTAATTTCCTTTCGTATGTTCGTATTTGCAATTTTGAAGGGATTAAAGTTTGTAAGTAAAGCTTCAGGGGGATATTTCCAGGACATGTATGTTAACAATAGCCGGAAACTCACATTGGTGATGCGCTTAGTAGAGCTATACAAACCCTACATGTTATTCAAGGGCATGTACGTATACTATACTTTTGTAACCATACACTTATTCTCATTTTCCACTATTGAAGAGCATGGACCATAATAAATTAAACACGTTTTAATTGTAGATTTGATGACAACAATTCAGAGGAGCTGCAAAAGTTGACAAGTGAGTGTTACATAGACGCAAAAGAATTTAACTTTGATCCCAAATGCATTGATTGGGAAGACTATTTTATGAATACTCACATTCCTGGCCTCCGAAAGCATGTTATGGTTCAATGATTAACTTACAGATACATTCTCGTTATGATAACAATTGTACCCTTAGGCATGTATCAAATTCACATCCTTCTATCATTGCCTACCTATATTGATTGTGATGAAGTTGATCATGAGTTAAGTAATTATATCAAAGTCTCATATTTGGTTTGTGGAATAGGTATTGAGAATGTCTTTTTTATGTTTACTAAAGTTAGTAATGGGCAGAAAATAACTAACACATAGGTATGAAACTCTCATAAAGGAGGGAATTCCTTAGACTCGTTTTTACCCACTTGTACAAGAAGGCCATAAGCGACGGTTTCCACCGTTGTCTCTATTGGATTGTGGACTATTTTAATGTGGATGTGTGCGAAAGCGCGGATAAAGTCAGTATAAATAATTATATTAACATGCATGGTTAGCGAAAAGTTGGATTCTGTTTAATCATATTAAATTAACTTATGTGATCGTGGTTAATCGACGTGTTTGTGTTCATGCAAAATAAATTAAGAATTCAACCATAAGACAAAGTAGCAATTAACAAGCTCAGAGTGCTAAATCAGAGGATTCCCATTCTTGAAAAGTAGCGGTAACATCCTTAGTTACTCCAGTTTCAATGTCCAATGCAAACTAAGGTGGAAACACAGCTGTGTCATCAAAATGATCAAACAATTTGTAGCCTTTCAACACATATTTAAACTAAAAAGCCCACTTTGTGTAATTATGGTCGCCAAGTTTAATTGTCAACGTTCCCAACAATCCTTCAATTTTCACAGTTGTAGAAGCTACCATACTACTTCCAAGAATTAGAAGTATCAAGACTTGCAGCCAAACAACTACTTCACTGCTGAACACTAAGACTCAACTCAATGAAATCACCGTCTTTGGCCTTCGCAAATTTCAATCAAACACAAATCTACAAAAGAAATTCGTAAGCAATGGCATTTAGTCTCTTAGATCTTCAGTAGTAATTCTTAAGGGTCATTTTGGTTCTCGTCTCTAATCAACCTAATTATTAGATTGAAACCTTGTTTGTTTGTTTAAATATTTTGATTGAGGTCCTTAGCATCATTTAAGAGATTTAACTCATGTATTTATGCATTTAATGACCCACAAATTATGAAATTTTAAACAAATTCAAATAATATTTTAAAAATATAATAAATAGCTAAAAATCAATTTTAAAGTAGGCGGGCGCCTAGGCGGACTAGCCGGATTTAGTAAATCCATTATATTTCATGTAAATAAGTGTGTTTATACTTAAAATATATATAATTTCATCATAAACTACAAAATAGAATGACATATATATTATGACGTATTGGAACATATGACAATATGGGGAACAAGCGTATAGTGTGCGATCATTTAAATATTCAACAAGTCTCTTACAATTTATTGAAAAAAATTAAATGCAAATTGAAAGTTATCTATTTTCTATCTAAATGAGTCGTAACCTAGGCAGGTTCCTAGGCGGGTCTGCGCGGGCTAGGCTGACACACCCATACCCGGAATGTTCACTAGGACTCTAAATCAAGCTGTGCTGGCCGACACCTGGAAGGTGACGAAGCCATAAAGTGTCTAAATACAAGAGTGCGCAGTGAGCGGGTATGAACCCATTTCACACGTGATAATAGAGCATAAGTAGAGCACAGTAAGGTAACCATAGGTAGCCACCTATACTGGGATATGCCAATAATCCTCGTCGATACGAAAACTCAGCTACTAAAACCTGAAGGGGCACAAAAAAAAAAAAAAAAAACAGAAGGGTGAGTGGGCACAAAAACAAAGCTTTAGAAAACACATTTCTCTTTTCTGAAAGTAATAACCCCTCACTGTAAAACTTGTATAGTTTCCAGAAAATACTACTACGTAAGTACGAAAAACCAATGCACAAGGCTAGCGAAAACTAAAGTATGCCATAGCATAAGGTTTAAGCACTAAAAGATGTAAACCAGTTGTGAAACCAATATAAAATAGTATGCCAGTCGGAGTCACCTAACGTGACTTGTACGACTGGACCTATAACTCATCAATATATGCTAGCACACGAGTCGTAACCACCTATTGTGGTCTGTACGACAGAGCTAGGTATAAATATGTACGCTCAAGTGCTAGATCACGTGAAAGCTGTGCGAATAATCACGGGTCACCTACGAGTTGGAACCACCTATTGTGAGCGTGCGGTGTGGGAGGTGAACATCACGTGAATGACTATGCCCTGGCCTCGGGCGAGAGCACTAACACCGAGGTGCAGCCGTGATGAGCTCTAAATAAATGTATGCATGCCAAGGCAATACAATCAATTCAATCACATAATACTCACTTGAAACTTACCTGAGTCTTCGCAGCATCACACAATACAGTTCATAAGTGTAACAATGCACTATTTAAAATGTAACTTATTTATGACATGGCAAGCAAGCATAATTCCATATAAAAACATTTCTGGAAACTATATATATATATATATATATATATATGTATGTATGTATGTATGTATGTATGTATGTATATTTATATATATAAAAAATGCCCACTCACCTGAAGTCCGCGCTACAACTCTCAAGCACAAATATCAAGGCGTCACGAACGATCGTTACCTAAAATAAATATCAAATCACGTCTTTAAATTTTTATTAATAGAACACTTAACTTACAAAAAAAAAAATCCCCCAAGGACATTCTAGAATGATTTGAAACCCATTGACTAAAATTCAACCGTCGGTCAGAGGTTGGCGGTAGGGTCCATAGCACTATGTATCTCAATCTGGAAGATTCGCACCTCGGATTTCCGATCCATAACTTCCAAAGATCCACATTATGCTTCTAGAACATCATACTAAAGTTTCATTTCGATCCAACTGTTGAATCTCTGCCAATTGCAAATTCAAGTGGCGGTCAACGCTTTATTTTACGAACTTACAAATCCAATTCGGGAAGATCCGTACGTCGGATTCCCAATCCATAATTTTTCAATATCCTCAAATATTACATACTATAATGTATTAAAGTTAGGTGACGATCCAACGGTCGGATCGTCAATTCATATAAGGATCAAGTAGCGGCCTCTATCAAAACTATGTCCAAACGGTGAGATTTCATCAATCGGACTTCACTTATGGAATTGGGGTATCAAACTTATCTTAGGAAGGTTAGGGGGTTCGTCAATTCGACTTCTCAAATCGCCACGTGCCCATTGGAAACCCTAGAATAGGTGTTCGTCGATTCGACTTCTCCGGTGTTCCAAGGCCCCCTATCACTGGTTGGGTCTTGTTCCTAGGTCCAAGGGGAGTTTATAAAGGGTAATGGTGGGTGGTGAAACTCGCTAGATCGAAGGAATCACCGTCGAGAACCTCCGGGTTCTCCGGTGAAGTTCTATTCGGTTTAGGCCTTAAAAACCCTTGATTTTTGGTGGAAATGGTAGATGAGAGGTTGTGGAAGAGGTTGCAAGTGATGAATGGGTGTAGTTGTCCTGAAAAAAAAATATTGGAGATTGCCCGGAAACAACCCGGGTCACCGGCGAGTTGTGGTGTGCACGAGTTGAAGAAATGGGGAAATGATGTTTCTCTCTCTCTCTCTCTCTCTCTCTCTCTCTCTCTCTTTCTTTCTCTCTCTCTCCTCTGATTGGTTGCTTCTCTTCTCCCCTTTTCTTGATTGGTCCTTACCCTTTAATTTGATTGGTCAGTCTTCCCACAAGGTGGGAGTTTCACACTTTATAATCTAAAATATAAATAACCATTTTCAAACGTCCGTAACTATACCGTCATAATCCGGACTCGCACACAGCTTTCACCTATGTGTTCGTAACATTGAGTACTACACAAATGTTCTAAAAGAATAAGTCATACGTTTCTCTAAACGGTGCTCTACGGAAGTCAAAGTCTATGCCTTTAGGGGCATTTTCATCAATTCCCTCGATTAAAATAAATAAAAAACGTAAATTTAGGGACAGGTTGTCACATAGGCTGGTACCTAGGTGGTCTAGGTGGGTGCCTCATCTGGTCTAGGCATCATTTCTTAATTTTCAAACGCCTAGGCATTAATCAGGGCGATGGCCAGTCGCCTAGCACCTTGGTGGGGATTTTTAGAACAATGGCATGGGTACATTTAGCAAAAATTAAAAATGGGTACAAATAAATTAAAAAATATGGATAAAAATATAAATAAAAGTTTAAAAGATATGGGCACAAAAATGAATTAATTTATGGACACAAATTTAAAAAGAAAATGGGTAAAAATTAAATAAATGAGATGCAAATTAACAATGGGTACAAATTAAAAATAAAAATATATGATATAAAATTTAGCCATAAATATAAATATACCAAATGTAACGTTTCTAACACTAAATGAATATATTTATTTAATTTGAAATAAAAAAATTATTATTGAAATAATTAATGACGATTATTATAATCTAAGGACCTTGATAAAAATTTGAAAATAGATAAGATTTTAATCAATGGAGTAGGAAAAATAGGAATGAGAACCTAATTTTTCCAATTCTTAATCAAGATTCATAGAAATGGCATCAACCTTCAAACAATCAAAGATCCTAATATACTACCAATTATCTATTAAGAATCTAAGAAGTTTTCAAGAAATAAACCAGATCAAACATAAAAGCAGCTCAATATTAAGAAAGAACCTAGATCTAATCAAGAATCAGCTCACGAAATCAAGAATCCAAAACGATATATTGTAGGATTAAAGAACATAGAACCTGAGATTTCACTCAATTCAACCTTGTCAGGATACATTATCATCACGATCAGAGCAAGCAGAAATAGGCAATGTGGATGTTACTTCTACAATAAATCACATTAGATAAATATTAGTATATTATAATTCTCATTGCCACAATTAACACTACTAGCAATAACTTCTTGGGCGACGAAGGGGAAACTGTCATGCAAAGGGAAGAACTGTTGCTGGAAACATTGGGCGGTGAAGTCTCCGTCTCGCAAAGCTCGTGACGTCAGGCATTGTGTGACAAAGGAAAAGTCTTCGTCGCGTAAAATGAAGATTGTGTGACGGAAGTCTTGATCGTTGCGCGTACCGAGTGATAAAACTGGGTTTCGACCCCTAAACTCTTGCGCAACGGTCACACGGGTTCAACCCACAAAGTCTTGCGCGACGAACATACAAGTTCGACATACAAACTCTTGCGCAACGGACATGTAGGTTTGACCCATAAACTCTTGCGCGATGGATATAAAGGTTGTCGCAGTAAGATTTTAAAATTAGTTTTTTAAATAATTTATTATTTATTTTAAATTAGTTTTATAAATAATTTATTATTATTATTATTTTCGTTTATGTAAAAATGAATTTAATGAAAATAAAAATAGAAAATGTAAAGAAGAATATTGAATTGAAAAATTATTCTAAATGTACATACAATGGAAAAAAAATATTTTTAAATTCGAAAACAATTTAAAACATAACTAAAAAAAGAAGTCTACAACGTCACAATCTCTGACTGGTGGTGTTGTTATTGTGTCGAGGGGTTGGGAGGACGTAGCTGCTGCGGCGGGGGGTTGGAAGATGTAACTGCTGCGGTGAGGGGCTGGGAGGTCGTTTCTGGAGGTAGTTCAACGTCGAGGAATTGAATGCTAGAGATCTGAAGTGCACGACGTATTTGGTGAATCAAATTGTTTTGGGCAACAATCTAAGACTGCTGGGCCACAATCTACTCCAAGCCCGCCACTTCAGACGTCAGCATTTCAACTTGTTCAATTCTCTGCCTAGAGGATGAGGCAGACGGGTCTCGAATGCGGGCTTTCCCAAGCCCCCGGTGAACATTCCCATGCTGACGACCGAAGGTATGATCAAGTGTGTCAATCATGATCTGAAACCCAGCATCCTCAAGGGGAAACACTTCCTCGATCGGGGTCTCTAAGGGAAGCTGGGAAACCACCTCCTCCAGAACTGTCTGGCCCTTCTCCACCATGGTGGACTAGAAAAATGAAAAAAAAAAGCAAATTGATTTGAATATACATGTAATTAATATTAATACAAATTGAATATTATAAATTTGAATATACATGTAAATTTCAGGAAACTTTGACCGCCTGAAAAAATTTAAAAAGTGTAGATTACCAATTGTGTAATAAAGAGTAAAAAGATTGAAAACTTAAAATAAATATACGGTTACCTTACGTTGTTCCTCCAACCTATAAGAGAAGCGTCGTGACCCGGATCAGTGAAGAAGTTTCTTCTTCGACCGATTGATCAAGTTTGCCTTCATTTTTTTCTGTTGAATTAAAAAAAAAACGTATTAGTTTAGATATTTATAAAAATGAATTGTTTTTTTTTAAATTGTAAATTTTTTTATTAATATATTATTGAAATATAAATTATACGTACCAAGTATTTCTCATCTTGAAAATGGCCGCGGAGCCACTCTCATTCATCCCGACGGTCCAGCAACTTTATAGGGCACCTAACTTCTAAAGCGACCTTCGAACCGTCATATAGCTCATAATGCTTATGAAGGCTACTCTTCCATTGAGTGAACCTACTAAAGCAAACGTTGTTGATGTACTCCATTTGGTTGGAATCGTGGTTGCAGAGCTCATAGTGATGCTGCAAAACTCAACAAATAAATAGTACTTAAAATTTATAATCTTTGTATACTTTAATGAATATTTAGTATTTGAGGTTGAAAATACTAATTCATAAAGCACGGTGTCCTTGGTTTCTTGTGGCACATCTCTCCATGACTCCCACTTGAGGGGGCAATGATTCCTGATAACGCAGCCAATGTCTGTGGCCAACGCACTGTGCTGCTCTTTTGTTGTAGCCGCACGATGTCAAGGATCCCACATAATGGTGATCTTCTGGATCGTGGTGCGAGTGGTATGTGTAGTCTTTTGTAGTTTACAAGGGCCCTGGTTTTTTTTTTTTACCTACCAAATAAACAAGTAAACATTAGACGAATTCTATTTTCTACCGAAAATTCAGCAGAACCTCCCTTAAAACTAAAACATTTCCTAAAAGCTACACACAATATAACAACAAAAACAAGATATCCACCCAACAATTCAAACAGTTTATACCAATTGGGGACGTTAAAACAAAATTTACAACTTGTTGATATGACTTCTCAGTGCTACTTAACAATCATTAATATAGGTCAAAATCACAATTCAAAATAACTAGCTAGCAAGCATGTTATTCTCTGGATAAATTCAAAGATCAGTTCGATTTGCATCAAATATTGTTTACCTTGGTGCTCAATTATTAGAGAGGATAAGATACCTTAATTATATTATGGTTCACATTTTAATTACACAAGATCAGTTCATATTCTATACTTCAAGGTGGGATTTTGAATATCTATCTTTTAAGTGGAAGTTTGATTATCTACAACTAATAATGCACATTAATTTGCACTTTATGCCTCTAGTTGCTAAGTCATTCTCTAACATGTACATGATAATATGCTCTTTACATATATATTTTTATAATTTTTGTGTGTAAGGCAGCTGCTAATCAAGAGGCATTTTTTATAAACATATTCTACAATAAATGAGAGATTTGTGCTTAATTTTTCAGTGAACAAAATTATACTTACAACAATTAATATATGCTTCCTTTTATATCACATTTGGTTTTTTAGGGAGGTGTTCTTAGCTCTTATGAATCATACAAGTTTCTTCAAAAATCAAGAATAGTATTTAATTATGATGCTCTTTGAAAACAAGATCAAAACGATTATTGTGTTTGAAGTACTTCAATTGGTGTATACAATCAAGAATATAGAATCACTTTAAATGAGCATCTCCATAATTATATGTTCCCTTTTTTTTTTTTTTTGTTAAATATGTTTTCATATAATATTATTTTGCACTAATATACACCAAAAGAGGAGGAGAAGGCAGGAAGGAGGAATGGAGCAAGCTTACCTATCTGGGACTCCTCTCTAGGGGTGGTTCGGTATGGGATCCCATACCGAAACCCTTGTCCCGATTCCCAAACCAAAAATTTCGGGAATCCCAATTTCAATACCGATCCCAAACCAAATTTTCGGGAATCCCGAAATAGTTTCGGGATTTCGGGACAAATCGGGAATCCCGAAATGATTTTGGGCTTTTGGGCTTTTGGGCTTTTGGACTAAAATATTAGGTTTTTGGGCTAAAATTGAACCTTTTAACACTTTTGGGCTGCAATCTGCTAAGAGGCCCATTGCAATATAAGTGTATAAGTTAACCAAGCTGCAATCTATTATCTGTGCACAAATCTGCTCTGCCCATCTGCCAATCTGTGCAGTATGCACAACAAGTCTGCCAATCTGTGCAGTATGCACAACAAGTCTGCCAATCTGTGCACAAATTTGTGCACAATAGCATTTGCCCATTCAATTTCTATTACAAATGCATGGAATAAAAATAAATTAAGTAACAAATCCAAAAGCAAAAAAAATTAGTTACAACTTACAAGCCAAGGTTTTAAAATAAATAAAGTAACAAACCCAAAAGAAAAAAAATTAGTTACGAGCCAAAGTTTTCAAAATAATTAAATTACAAACCAAAAGCAAAAAAGCAAAGCTTAACATTTATGAAGATTGTTGGCCTCTTCGGCCCCTTCGGCCCTTTGATCTTGTTGATGCTTGTGGTTGCCCCCTTCTTGTTGGTACTTGTACTCTTCCCCTTGATGTAGATGGTTGAGCCCTTCCCCTAAAAATGGGTGGTCGTGGAGGTAATGATTGATTAATTTGATTTTGACGTTGAACTTCAACTTGAGGTGGTCGAAGAGGTGGAGGTGGAGGTGGCATTTCATTTTCTTGTGTTGTATACTCCTCACCTCCCAAATTAGCCATGCCTAAAACAATAAACCACAAATCATTTAGATTGAATTATAGTCTAATAGTAATAGATAATAAATACTAAGAAAATAAATGAGGAAATTAAATTGTTTGCTTACTTTTTTCTAAGCGTTCAAGCTCCTCGTAGAAATATAATTCGTCAAGTGTAGGCTCCTTGTAGAAACAAAATTCTTTTCCTCTAAGCCAATCACTAGTACACACTAAAGCCTCAACCGTTTTAGGTGTTAAGGAAGCTCTAAAAGGATCAACAACTCTCCCACCAAGACTAAAGGCATTCTCACTAGCAACGGTGCTACTAGGAAGGGCCAATACATCCTTAGCAACTTTACTAAGAATTGGATATTGACCACAATTTCCTTTCCACCAATCCAAAAGATTGAAACCCTCATATGTTAGGCTTTGATGTGGATCATTGAAGTACATATCCACTTCATTGGCTATCTCATTTTGTTGTGCCTCCGCTCTCTTTCTTTGGATCTTCTTTGTCATCCTTGAAGCAACATCAATATCTACCATCACACCCCCCGCCCCATCATCTAGTACAACACTTGATCTTTGCTCCATATTTGAGGTAGCACTACTACTAGTACTACTACCACTAAGGATCCCTCCCTCCTTATATGCATTATACAACTCGGTTACATAGCCTTTAACCCTTACTTTCTCCTCCCTTATTTTGTCACAATCATAGCCGAGCTCTTCTAAATTTGTCTCCAACATATCAAATTTGTACCTCGGGTCGAGTGATTGGGCCACAAAGAGAATAGGATTCACCTTTTCAAAGTCACTCCAATATTTGTCAAACTTGAGCTTCATTGAGGTAGCCACACTTTGCAAAGTAGCATTAGAGGCGTTTAAAATTTGTTCTTCTATCTCTACTTGCAAGGCAATCACCGTGCTAAGTATTAAGTGTGACGTTGGAGTAAGGGTTGCACTCAATGTCAAGGTGGCATCATAAAATTTTTTTGAGAAAATGAGCAAAACTCACCGACCTTTCCCAATCATCCACCTCCGGAGGACCCACCCGCTTGGCCTTTGTTGTCACCCCATTAACCTCTTTCGAGACCTCCTCTTTAAAGTAAGCAATAAAAGAGTCACACTCAAAGGTCATCTTAGAGAACACTTCTTTAAACTTGAAAGCACTATTAAGCATTTGATACGTGGCATTCCACCTTGTGACAACATCAAAAGGGATACTTGACATCCTATCAAATCTCAACAAGACACAATATTCCCTAAAAGACTCCAACCTTGCCGGGGATGAGTGTATAAACTTCACACAATTTCTTATGGCATCAATTTCCCTACTAAGCTCCGTCATTCCATCTTTAACTATCAAATTGAGGATGTGACAAGCGCACCTCATGTGCAAGTGAGCCCCATCAAGTAAAAGAGTACCATTTGACTTGAGTCTTCTTTTCATGTATGCAATAGCGGTGTCATTTGCACTAGCATTGTCAACGGTAATGCTAAACACCTTGTCTATGCCCCAATCATTCAAGCAAATCTCTAGACATCTTCCAATATCATCACCCTTGTGAGAAGTAACTTGGACAAAGTTTAGGATCCTCTTATGCAATCCCCAATTAGCGTCCAAAAAATGGGCCGTGATGACCATGTAGTTTATCATTTGAATTGAGGTCCAAGTATCGGTTGTAATACTCACTCTCAATCCCTCAATCACACTTTTTATTTTTGCCTTCTCTTCAAAATACAACTCCAAAACCGCCGCCGCCACCTTATGCCTATTAGGAAGTTTGTACTTTGGATTCAAGTCACGAATAAAAGCTCGAAAATCTTCTTGATCAACCACCCTAAAAGGCATCTCCGCTATTATAATCCACCTCACACATCTCCTATCAAGTCTTTTTTGATTGAAAGTGTGAGTGACAACCGGACCTCCCATCCTTGCTTGTGTCAATGTAGGTTGGTTCGGATCCACATTCTCAAAGAGACTAGAACCCGGGCATTTCCTCAAATGCTTAAGAATTCCCGCCGTCCCATGAGTTCTAGGGTGTGCCGGTACTAAGAGTTTGCAATGCTTGCATTCGGCCATGAACAATTTCTCCCCATTATTATCGGTGATAGTTACCCTCTTAGCATCATTCCATGCCGGACTTGGACCCTTTCTCCTATTGCCCTTTTTCCGAGGAGGACCATCCCATTGTCTCACTACTTCTTCTACTTCTTCTACTTCTTCTACTTCCTCTTCCCCCTCTTCCCCCTCTTCCTCCTCCATATCCGGATCATCATCCCAATAATCTTCATAATAATCATTATGCAAATATTCTTGAGGTGAGGGAGTGCCTAGTTGAAGGGTACCACTAGGTTGGGTTTGTTTTCGTTTTCCTAATACCGAGACCATAGGTGTACTAGATTGGCTACTAGACCCATCCATCCTAACAAATAAAATAACAATGCACATTAATATATCACAACCACAGTTCAACATATATCCAAATTCCAATCAATAAATCACATATCCAATTCCAATGCAATAACATTAACATATTGTACTAACCTTAACAAGCCTCAATTCAAACCGAAGACTGAATACACTTGTTATTATAGCGGGTAATGGAGTGGAGTGGTGCAGTACACTCGGATCTGATCCAAAAGCACAGATAATCAGTTAGTCATTAGAAGTTTCAGAGAGAAAGAAAAGAGCAAAAACAAGTTCTCAATGCATATTTATCACTCTTCCATAACAGAAAAGAAGAGAACAAATACTATATATTAACTGCAAGGGCATATATGAGTTAACTGTAATATAATATGACACTCTTATAGGATTCAACCAATACTAACTATTAACTGCAACAAGGACCAGAATTATATAGATAACTTAATCTGCATATATATACAACATTGGTTAGAGAATGTGATATTAAGAAAGGTGCTAAATAAGGCAAAGGGAATATGGCATAAAACAGGAAATCATATGCTTGAGAAAAGCAAAAATGAGGTTCCTTTCTTCAAAAGCATTCGATAAAGCAACCCATCAACAAATAGCACCTCAAATCAAAGGGAATAAGAGAATCTCACATCTCATCATACACACATACCAAACGGAAGTAATGCCAGAAACAAGGGGTTTCATAAATGGATTCCAACAAGATCAATAAACCTAAAACTTGAACATCATCATCACATAAGATTATTGGAATTTCAAGTCTTGATATCTCTTTTCCCTACAACCAACAAAGACATAGACCTGCATACAGATTACATACAAATGGGGAGGGTCACGAACTAAATCTAAACATGGAGGTTTGATTCATAAAAAGCTAAACATTTGGTGGGTTGATTTGATGGAAAAACCTAAGTCATAACAAAAGCATAATCATTCATTCACATCCCAATTTATTGAATGAAACTGTGATATTAATCATGTTTGTGAAAGCTTTGAAAAACTCTAGATTCTTCTATGGATCTAATCAACTCTATACATTTTACAAGAATCCACAACATGGAGCTCAAACAGTTTGATCTTCAATCATGAAATGGCACACTTACTTGCAAAGGAGATCGTTCCATTTTTTTAAGCAATCTAGCTAGATACATGATTAAAGATGAATGCTTGTCAATCGGAGAAATGCATCAACAGTCTACTCGTATAGTGTACTTAAGCATATGTTACGAGATGCTTAAACTGTTCCTGACATAGTATAACAAATCAATGGCAGAAATATCTCAACCTGCAAATCTTGTCAATCTTGAGAGTACAAAATTTTGAATAAACGCCTCAAAAGTAGCAGATCGAATTGGCTCCACAACAAAAGTTAAGGCAGTGTCACAACGGTTGAAACCCTAGCCACCAGCAAATCATGGTTTTCAGTTTCCAGCGACAGACGAGGCAGTTGCTGGCTTTGCATCCTCAGCTTTCTCATGTTCTTTGTAGCACCTGGAAAACAGATTTGACAAAATCATAGAGATATATCATTCAACCTGCCAGAAGACTATACAGAATCACATATACACAATAGCGATATAGATCAGAAAGTAGCGGGTTCCTAACCTCTCCGTCGATTCAAAATCCCTAATTCAGAAACCCTAATTTCAGAAACCCAAATTCAAAATCTCTAATCAAATTTGGAATCAAACAATTTGTATGAACTTTGGGTGAGTTTATTGCAGGAATTTCTTACCTTTTGCAATGAGGAGGAGTGCGGACTGAGGATTGGTATGGAGGACAGTGGGTGAAGGCGCGATTCAGGTGAGGAGTGAGGACCCAGAGGAATGAGGACTGGTGTGGCCGTGCGGGTAGATTCGGGATTCAGGCGACGGATGTGGGAGGAGAGACAAATCGGCGAGGAGAGACCGAGAGAGAGATCGGGATTTAGGTCTGAGGTGAGGTGAGGTGAGGTGAGGGTGAGTGAGAGTGACGAGACTGTCGAGACTCGAGAGGGACCGAGAGAGACTCAGACACGGGTTTAAAACATAACAACGGTTGAGATTAAATCTCAACAGAATCCAACGGCTATTAAAATTTTAAATATATATTTAAAAATTAAATAAAATATATATTTTTTTTTCGGTTCGGTTTGGGAATACCGAAATCCCAAAAACATGAGACCGATTCCCGTACCGAACTTTCGGGATCGGTTCGGTATTGGGTACCGAAATTTTCGGGAATTTCGGTTTGGGATTTTTTCGGTTTGGTTTCGGGAATTTTTTGGTTTGGTTTGGGATTTTTGGGATTTTTTTCCAACCCTACTCCTCTCCATAGACAGAGGAAGCATCACCAGATGGCTAAGCCTTCTCAGAAGTTCAGCGTCGTCGATGAGTTCGTCGGGCGCTTAGGACAGGATGCGTCATTGAAGAAGTCGATGACACAACAGCCGTAGATACCATTGCCCCAAAGGCGCAACTAGAGGGACACCCGTCGTGGCCATATCAGGTGTGGAGATGGCAGCAACATTACCTCATTGAGAAGGTGTTTGATTGCCCCTACTAGCTACCTACTGGTTTGATATTAAGTTTGACATCTACAAAAACAATCATGAATATGTTTAGATATCATCTTATTATATGCATTTCATTTCACATATATAAGGTGAATGAAAACATGAGATAGGAATAAAATTGAGTATTGCAATGAACATGTTTTTTCATGAAAACAAACAAACAAATTTACCCATCTACAATAATCTTCAAATGCATGCCATTACAAAGTTAAAGCCAACATATTATCAAATCAATAGTCTTCAAACACTTTTGAGCATACAACATTTTTATGCACTGAAGAAGATCACTTATAGATGTGATGAAGAATATTCTCACCACTATTTATACCAAATACAAAGCTTAATGACTAAGCAATCCTTATAACTACCCAACTCACCAGCTTATGGCACATATAATACATCAACCAATGACCCATGTCATCATCTAAAACCATTCATATCACTCAATACCTTGGTGTGAATTCGAATAAAAATAAATGGAAATAGTATGAGGACATGAACTTAAATAGATGTAATTCATTTCAATTTTTTCTTTTGTAATGTAGGTTTCATACTTTTGGTGCAGCAATGATTATGAGGCTTTTATTTTGGAATCTATGCATGCAGGCGATGTTTTTTTAATATCTTTTTATTATCCTAAGTTAATCATGCTCATATCCCACTACTAATGTTTGGATAGCTCCTTGCTAAATATAACTGGAAAAAAGGACAAACAGACAGTGACATTGCGACGAAGTGAGTGAGAGTTTTGTTTAGCAAATGAAACAGGACATCCTTAAAATATTGAACCTAGCCTTTTCCTTTTAGACCAGCTAATATAATGCAAATGGGAATGTCTTAATCATGCTTTAGCACTACTCATTTTCTCAACGTATCATTCATGTTTTTCTATACTGTGCATTATCACTATAAGATTAGTATTTACTATCATTGATCATGCAACTAATTTTTTATTTTGTATATGTATATGTTAAGCAATACTTACATCTAAAGTGGTATTGTAGAGGTTATCGTCTATGAACTAAACTATTGTCTTTTTCCTTCTTAGCTAAACAATTCAAAGCTACCTCATTTCTGGTTTTACACAGGGTTGGACGTTTCATGAAAACATCACTAGTATATATGCAACGAATGGTAAGATCAATTTGAACCGTTAGGAAATTCTTTGGAGTCCTATCAACTAAATTAGGGAATTTAACACAACCAAATTCACTTTAATTTTCCTTTCCGTTGAATCACATTACAAGATGTTCATAGCTAGGGTTCCTTTTTGCAGGACAATGACAACACATGGCTATATATAGTACGATTCAAGAATCCAACAGAAAAATAGCAATATTAGTTGTTAGCTTGTTATAACAAAAATTTAGAACATTCACCAATCCAACACAGGGCTACATCAACGATGATTGGACATCTTAATTCCCTTCCCTACTAATTTCTCATAATTAAAACCCTAAAATAAAATAAAAAATACCACAACTTGTAAATCTGTAATTCAAACCCTACACCATGAGCAACTACAATTCCCAATTCCAACCCTAAATCCCAAGATTCCCTATTCCAACCCTAAATCCTTAAATGTTGTAACTAAAATAATTGAAGATCAAAATTTAGAAAATTGCACTTATAAATAATTGATTAAGGGAGATGAATTAAGGGAGATTAGGTCCTTACCTAGTAAAGTTGCATGCGGTGTCAGGTCAGAGTGATGTGGGTTTGAGATGGAGAATGACTGAGAGACGGAGAAACCAAGGGAGTGCGAGAGAGGGAGAGAGGGAGACATTAAGATTGAGTATGAGATAGAGAGAGATATAGTAAGGAGGTTAACTGAATAGAGAGAGAGAGAGAGAGAGCAGAGCTTGGGTCTGAAAGGAATTCAAATTACAAACGAGAGAGAGAAGCTTGAGTCTGAGATAGACAAAAGTAGTGAAATGAATTGAACGCATCGAAATACAAATGCACCCAATTTTGGGAAAAAAAATCAAATTTTTACATGTTTGCGCGACGAAGTTGTTTAAAATTTCATCATAACCAGTTTTAAAAAAAAATGAATTGTTTAATATTTGTGCGACAAATATTTAAAAAATGTTGTCACGCATAACTATAAATTTATTTTATTTTTTTGTTTAAATAATTTTTTTATTTAATTTTGTTACAAATTTTAAAGGAAACTTTTGTTTGTATACAACATTTTTAAATGCCATTCAATACATTTAATTAATATACATCACACTTTTTCATTAATCCTTGTCTGAACTTGTTTGGGCCTAAAATATTGTTTGAGCCAAGTTAGAATTAACTCGGCCCAATGTTGGATAGGCCGGGTTTAAATCCTCTCTCGGCCCAGAAGTCGTGTATAGGTATCAATAGGAGATATTTAACCCATGGGCTGCACGGTCGAAATTAGCCATTTCCTATTAGAAAATGGAATGTGGACGAATCCTGTTGTGAGAGGGAGTCTCGACGGGATCAGGATGCTGAGATTGAATACGGTCTGATAACGAATTATGTTCGGAGTCCTCGTAGGAATAGCATTGGCTGAAATGAAATTGGATAATGAGAAAGAGTTCTAATCCGGGAGTGATTAGGATTCAATACAGGTTGGCTGCCTGCTATAAATAGGGAAGGAAGATATTGAAACAAGCCCCTTCAATTCAACACACAATTGCCCTGCGTAAATTCTCTCAACAACCTCAAGATTTTTTCATTTTCTTTTTTTGCCGACACACCTTCAGTTTGGATAAACAGCACTATGAAGGCAACCGGTGATATCTTCAGTCGGCATAGAACGCGCTCTGACCGTAGAACCAACTGGTCTCGTAGCATCTTCAGTCGGCATAGATAGCACTGCGTCGAGGGTGACTGCTTTTCTATGCAAGTCTCGGTCGAAAAGGATTTCTGAATCCTTATTGGTCGAGGTCATCTCATTAGCCTTCTCGGCGAAGTGAGGTGTTACAGTTTATTAGGCTCGGCACATTGCATGCCGAGTTAGTTTATGATTAGATACTCTCAAGTGGGATTTAGAGTTCAGCATTCCGACGGCCAAACCACGTTTATTGTTAAGACATATATCCGCTTTGAGTATTTGTGCCCTTACACTTTGGTGTCTATTCGACGTGAGTTTACTTTGACGAATACCATCACTGTGACCGAATCCGACTACGACGATTTGTGAACTTCGTAAGAATAGTAGCCTTGTCTTCAGGTTCGAGAACCCAAGAGGCCGAGACGTGTTCCTTCCTTGGTTGCAATTGCAAGACGCAGAAGTCGGCCGCGTACTCAACACAACATCAGCATATTTTACTCCTCGGCCGAGCTCAGCCGACGAGTTGGCACGCCCCGCATTCTACCGAAGGACGTAGTTAGCTCATAGATTACTTGGCCTGCGTGCCACGTAGGCTTAGTAGTTTTTAGGGTCAACATTTTGGCACGCCTAGTGGGCCCAGTGCTAAGACTACGAAGTTCATGCCAATTGAAACACAATCGGTTAAAAAGAAAACAGCTATGGGAAAATCAACAACCGATTTGCCAATTCAGAGCATAGGACACAGTGTATCACAGGCACAAAATCACCTTAGTGCCGTGACACCTGAGTCCACAAGCGCAACTCGTCAAGAAAAGGAAGTTGGTCTCGGCGGTCAGCTTTGCAGTCTAGAAATCCCTAACAAAAACACCTGCGTTCTCAATGAATGGGATAGTAGAGGACTATGATAAGGATGGTGGTGAAGGCTCTGATCGACCAACAAGATCGTTTCTTCAAAGACGACTTGACGAACAGTCTAGGGCGGTTGAACAGACATTTAGTGGAGGAATCGATAAACTACACGACGTGATACGCAGTACCAGTGAGGTACAAAACCGATTGCTTGAAATACTGGTTAGTAAGGTCTGCGACGACATGTCATTCGATCTTTCCCAGCAATTGCCACAAAGGAATAATCTATTACCAATAGTACAGGCAGAGCCAATCCCTACTCGGCTCAAGCCAATTGACTTAGAAAAAAAAGGAAGATCGAGTAGCAGGATAGATAGACCCGACCAGAGAATGGAAGTAACGTCTGTCGATATAACCGAGGTCCAGCGAACGATTGATTAGGCCATGAAAAGGGGCCGAAGTTCTCTAAATTCATCCATCCATATCCAGCTTACGTAGAACGGTTCAAAAATTGGTCGAGAGAATTGTCTTTATCCTCGTTAGAACATGTGGCTCGTTTCACCGTGCAATGCGGAGATGTAAACAGTGATTTTCACAAGCTGTGGATGTTCAACTTTTCATTGACAGGGTCAGCATTTGCCTGGTATATCAACCTTCCTCTAATTCCATCCAAAGCTGGGAGGAATTGGTCGAGAGATTTCACGAGCAATTTTATCGGCAAGGGATGGAAATGTCAGTTTCTTCGTTGACAAGGATGGCTCAAGCATCTGATGAGTCACCAATGGATTATCTTACCAGATTTAAATCGGCCAGGAATTGGTGCCGAGTACATCTCCCTGAAGTCGAGTTTGTTAAACTTGCTTTGAACAGACTCGATGTAGAATACAAAAAGAAATTTTTGGGGGCAAACTTTCAGGATATGTATGAATTAGCCCAGCATGTCGAGCAATATGACTATTTGCTCCAAGAAGAGAAGGTGGCGAAACCTTCATCTCGAGGGACTATTTACAAAAACCCTACGGTCAATTACGCGTCGACCGAAGGCGAGGAGTCTTAGTATGTCAAATTAATTCCAAGGAGGTTAAAACCTGCTTGGCCATTGAAGAAACAGCAAGGACATCAAAAGTTTATACCTTTGATATCACAAAGGCCGAAGCAATTTTTGATCAATTGCTATCAGCGAAGATCATTAAACTTCGGTCAGGGCATAGCATTCCCAAGGTTGAAGAACTTAAAGGAATGACATATTGCAAATATCATAACTCGACCAAACATGCCACAAACAATTATGTCATATTTCGTGA